AACAAATATCCACTAAAACTCAATTTTTTTCTCAATCCAAGAAATTTGGTATCAACGAGGAATAAGTGAATCCACAGTATTCGAATGCAATAAAATGAATTTAAAATTAAAGAAAATAAGGACATCATTTAATCTAGTCAACACTTCTATTACTTCAATCAATAAAACATACTGACAAAAAGAAAAAAAAACATATGGACCCAAAAAAGTATAAATGATTGTTTGATAGGTATAATACAACAAGTATTCTGAGAGTATTGCATGGCACTACATAGTCCCCTACCTGTTAACAATTCATTGTACTGGAAAAAAATGCGAACTTGATCTATAACTTGTCATGGTGTAAACTATATATATATATAACAAATATCAAGTCATTATCTTCAAGCCTGACGAAAAAAAGTGTGGAAAACTGATTATTTAAGTGAATTTTCTAAGTCCAAGGACCATAACTCTGCACAAAATCATCAAACTGGAACAAAATTCGAACTTGATCTGTAACTTGTCATGATAAAACTATATACCTATTATCAAATCAATATCTTCAATCATGATGAAAAAAAAAGTGCAGAAAACTGATTATTTGAGACCATAACTGCACAAAATCATCAGACCGGAACAAAATTCAAACTTGATTTGTAACTTGTCATGATAAAGCTATATACCAATTAGGGCTATTCCATTAAAATGTATGTGGGAGGGTAGGAAGGGAAGTTTAATTATTGAATGTGGGTCATGGGTCTTTTTTCAGTATGTGTCTATTACCATTATGCAAAATTATCTAAAAAATGGTTCTTGGTTGTAGGGATATTTTGAAAGTCCCTTCCTACCCTCCCACATACATTTTAATGGAATAGCCCTTATCAAATCAATATCTTCCAGCATGACGAAAAAAAGTGAGGAAAACTGATTATTTGAGTGAATTTTCAAAGTCAAAGGATCATAACTTTGCACAAAATCTTCAGACCGGAACAAAATTTGAACTTGATCTGTAACTTGTCATGATAAAACTATAGACCAATTATTATATCAATATCTTAACGCATGAAGAAAAAAAGTGTGGAAAACTGATTTGCCAGACTGACAGACAGACAGACGAGTGCAAACCTCAAGTCCCCTTCTACTTTATCGGTAGGGGACTAATAAAACAATATAGCAACAAAATAAATTAATACATTTATAGTGTGCAAAGGAAGTTAACAACAGTTGTTGGTACTAAATATAACAGGCAAGAGACAGATAAAATACATTCAATTTAGGATTTTGTAGTACTGTCTTATACAAAACTGAGCAATACGAAAAATTAAATTTTTGAAAATGACTACCTACAAAGAATTTTATTATTAAATATATACAGTAAAAATGGATTTTCTTTGTACAAATATTGAATACAGCACCAATACAAAAAGAAAAACAGAATTGCACCTTCTTGTTATTTTATTTCTCACCAGATAAAATGTAAAAATAATCAATAGCGTCTTTTGACTATCATTTATGTTTTACTGCTCTTAAAATAAAACGGTATTACAGGACTTCACAGAACTAGTCTCAATTGTTTCATCTAATTTTCTACTTCTACAATCTGCAGTAGCTAAACATATATTTAAAGAAAAATAGCTCCAATGATTTCTTTCGTTTACTTCTAACAATGGGGTAAATATAGTGATGACATGTGATAATTAGAGCACTTATGAATAAAAGAAATTGTGAGGTAAACCTCAATAAGACGGCAGCATAACAACAAAAATACCCATAAGACATCTTGAGGTCAGCATACAGCTTATAACAGTAGACAAATGTCAATACAATATGTCAATCTCTACACTATTGTATATTACCAGTGACTGATATAGTAACTCAAAAATATTTTACTAGAATTGTTTTATAATGTAAGTATTAAAGTACTTAAAGACATCAGAGTTATTTGTGGACATGTGGTTGAAAAAAAGAGTGGCTTACGGTACTTATACATGTAATTAGTAGGACCTGTATGATCAAATATAGTTCTTCCTTGTGAAAGGAATACAGGAGACTAATGGACTACAACAACTATAGTTGCATCCTGGCAAGTGTCCACCATTTGTAACCCCTCCCTGTGAATCAGTTTTATAAAAATGTTCAGAGAATTTTCCATACCTTATGGCTTTATACATATTCTTTATTTTTAAACAATGCTGTCTGAGCTTTCCAACAAATAATGGATGTCATTTCTGTACATAATTTCTTACTACTGGGGTCTTAATTACACCTTCTGAACACCTTCTTACAAGTATTATTTAATGAGACATTATAATTTTGTTTGTCCTGCACATCATTAAGCACCGCTTGATTCATGTAAATAATGGATTTCATATTATCTAGAAATGGACATTGACATATGACTGTATAGGAAAACAAAATCGTAAAATAATGAGATCCGAGTATGGTTTATTCCCTGATAACAATAATTACTAGCACCATTAAACATGGTAAAAATGCAGATTTACAAGGATATAAATGCACTTTTGATATACCTTTTACTTGCCATTATATCTGCCCTACTTAACTGAGTTGTATTTCAATTGCACATTCCCAAATTCAATTAGAAAATGATCATGTGTGTATTGCAATCTACAATATATTTATATATAACTGATATCTACCATGAAGTTGCTTTAAAAACTGGCCTTTGTTATAAAATATATAAACAACACATTATAAATTTGATGCGTCCAAAGCGCTTTTCTGAACTTACCTTCATCAGGAACGCTCAAAGCCAAATATTTGAAAGTCAAAGATGTTTAAGGACCGAAAACATTAGAGATCATAAACCAAAACCAATCTAAAAAATAGCCAAATCCATCTAAGGCCAACTTTGCCTGAGGGAGTTTAAACCTTAGTTTTAGTATTTCAAAATTTATAAACGGGCAATTTTAGATACTTTGTAAATCATGTCAGTACCGCAGTACTGACTACTGAGCTGATGATACCCTCGGGGACTGATAGTTCTTTTCCCTTGTGAATATGAGATATCAAACAATTTTAGACAATAACTTTTTAAAGAAAAAAAAATAAAATACTACACTTCAAGCATCACAAAACAAACAAAAAACCTAAAATTACATTTCTTCACTACTCTAAACATAACTAAGCATAAAAAAAGAAAATAAATTCATAAGAATGTTTAACTATGACAGCTTTAAAAATCAATAATGGATTTCTGACTGATGAAAAATGGATGGCAATCACACCAATAAATAATCCATTTTAATGCATTTATTTTGTATTGATGGATTTGATTGGATAAAAACCAGTTTCAAATTCTAAGTTTGTCTGTAAATCAGAGAAAATGCCCTTTAAATTCTAGACGTTGTATATTGGTAAGTGATTTTATTCAACAGTAAGCAAAAGTTCTTTTTGTCACCTAAAAATGGTCTTTTTGTAAAATTTCTTCCATTGGGAAATGTACATGAATCCTACCAACACATTGAGAATGATTATGTTTGAAGCCAGAGAAATGGGATGATTTGTTTATTTATTTCATACCTGCCGACTTTTCAAAATCTCCATGGGGAATTTAAGCGTAAGAGGGCCTAATGCTTCTCTTATATTGTGATAAGTGTTTTATATGTACTACTATATTGTTTGAATGAGAATATATATCCTAAAATACCCTTTTATCTCATTTAAATGCCTGCTTTAAGGTGTTTAGTTTATATAATAAAGAATTTAAAAATTCAAGTCAACACCTCTCATGGGGATATCCCCAATAAATCGGAATAGTTGGCAGGTCTGTAATATTTTGAATTAGAAAAGATATAACTTTGTGTACTAATCTTAGCTTACATAAATCAATTTAATGAAGACATATTTCTGGTTGAACATAAAAAAATGAAAACAACACGTTTAATAATTTCATGCGTCCGAAGCGCTTTTCTGGATTAACCTTCATCAGGAACGCTCAATGCCAAACATTTGAAATCCGAGGGATGTATAAGTACCAAAACAGTTGAAGAGCTAAATGACAAAAATACCTAAAACAAATAGCCAAATTCATCTAAGGTTAACTTTGCCTGAGGGAGTTGAAACCTTAGTTTCTTTATAATTTCAAAATTTATAAACGGACAATTTTGGAAAAGTTTGTTATAAATCATGTCAGTACCGAGGTACTGACTACTGAGCTGATGATACCCTCGGGGACTGATAGTCCACCAGCAGAGGTATCGACCCAGTGATGTAAAAAAATGGAAGTAGCTAAAACTAAAAAAACAGAATAAAGAAGAAGAAAACAAGTACCACCAGACCTGCTGTTTAAAACAAAGATATGTATAAAACGTAACAGTTGTATAAATCTTTAAAATTATGAGTTAAAAACAGAAAGTAACAATATATATACATATCACAGAAAAGCACATATTGGATTTCTATATTAATTAGAGATACAATACTTAATATGGATATGGTATTTTGATTTGCCCATCTTACAAGTGTCATCTGGAGATAAATGCATTAAGAATTTTCCAAATCCTTTATATCAGCCCTGACATTTGAATGAAATATGAAATACAAACTACTTACAATTTATCATTAACAAAAACAATCATAACAAACATATTATATTTTAATCATAATGTCACACTAAATCATCAGTTCTCTAAAATTACTTGCTCAATTTCTAAGTATGAGAAACTTTACTTCATAAAACGTAACCCAGTAAAACCTGCTCCTTAAAATAAAGTCTAAAATGGTTTTAAACTATGCAATATTATGCGCAGATATAATTTCCACACAACAGCTATTTATCATTTTAAATATGTTTCAACAACAAATAAAGCTCACTCTCATTGCTATATTGTCTCCCTAAAATCAAAACAACTAACAAATAACAAAAAAATTGCATTCTCTTTGGATTCTATTTCAAAGTGTTTGGAATTTTACAATTGTTTGCTCAGCAAACTCTTACTAATCTTAAGGTGGTACATAACACTACAGGGAGATAACTCTGTAAAAATCAGCTAAAGGAAACATTAAGCTTCTCACTGATCAAAATTAGTGTTTGTCAAACTGCTATATATCCAATGAAATTTTTCTGATAAAGTGTGTGGTTCCAAGTTTTTTGAAATTTTTATATTTTTGTCAAAGGGTCAAAGTAAATATTTTGTCTAAATTTTATGAAAATTAAACGAGTCAAATTAATTTTAGTCAAGGTGTTTGGTACCACCTTAATATTTATCTTTATATTGTAAAATAAAATGTTAATCAAAAGTAAATTTCAAATCAAATATCAAGCAAAAGCATTTATCGGTTCTATTCACAAAAAATACTTTCTGCGTCATAAATAGATAGAAATTTAACACAATGATTTTTAGAATGCATAAAATTATACATGAATAAAAATTATCATATTTGTTTACAAACACTGCAAATTTTGCCACATAATATTGGACTTCTGATTTTATTTAAATTCGATTGCTGTTCTGTTTACACATGAAAAAAAAAAATAATTACAAAAGAAAATTCATTGATACAAGGGTTCACTATACATGTGTTTAAATATTTATCAAATATGACGAATATTCCATTTACAACTAGTAAAGTCCAAACCTTAAGTTGAGACAGATCACCCAAGTTGATAAAACAATATAACTATATAAATGCATTATGTGTGATGTCCTGACTTAAAAGGACAATCTTTGTTTGAATTTTCCAGCAGAGACCGGTGTAGATTTAGATTCTGTAGATGGTTTATTGTCTGGTGTTTTCAGACCATTCAGGTCTTTATCAGGTGTCAGGGAATCCTGCTTCTGCAAAAAAGATAGTTGATTCATGAAGGTACAAACCATACATACTTTGTTTCAATTTGTTAGAATATTGACAGTAGCTTATAATTCGGTTGAATAGATTTCTTTTTTGAATACCCAGAGTGCAATATTCATAAATATTCATTGGGTTCATTAGTTTTACTTTTTACATTGTTTGGTTTTTTTTATACTTGTAGATAAAGGAAAAATCACCAAAAAAACAAACCACAAGTTTCAACGCTTGTTTTTGAGAAAGTTGAGGCTCAACATTTGGAATGTTGGTAATGTTTTTTGACTTTTGGTGTTTTAACGCCACTTTTAAGCACCGCTTTTGGGCTATTTCGTTGCGGCCAGTTTTTATTGGTGGAGGAAGCCGGAGTGCCCAGAGAAAACCACCGACCTTCGATAGGAAAACTGACAATCCTAGTCAATTAATATTGGAGTCGAGTGCTCCAGCACGAGTGGGGTTCGAACTCACAACCTCAGTGTTGACTGGCTAGTGATTACAGTAGTAACTACTTAGACCACTTGGCCACCGAGGCCCCCGAAATTTCTATTAACCTTAAAAACTATTAAGTTGTGTTTTACGTAAAAAATAAAATTGCTTTCATTCAAACATTCATTAGGAAAAATATAAATAACATATCAGAGTATCATCTCCTTTCAAAACTTAAAATTGAATTCTCATTTAAAATGCCACCACATGTCAACTATATCTGCTTTTGTTACACATTTTTACAAATAAATGGTTTTGTTATTTTTGTAATATTTGTACATGAACTAGCTTTCATTGTGTATTTTGAATCAAATATAGAGAAAGAATGTGTAAATGTGCTAATTTCAGAGAAAATTTTTTTAAAAATCCTGAAAATGATTTTCCACAAATGTCACTTTACATTTTATGGCAAAATCATTTTCTAAGTTTCTTTAAATTTTCCCTGCCAAAACAAAATGCATTGCAAATCAAGGTAAATAAATATTTGTCTTCTCTTTATTTGTGGACAAAATTTCTTTTGTTACTCATTTGATTGGTAATATTGTTAATGTTCTTTTTTGATATTGTTTCCCCTTATGATCAGATTCCTTCATCAAAAACAACAGGACATTGAACTTTCTGTATTATGTTATTAAAAAGGTATATCTTCTGAAAGTGTATTTACTTCAATATTAGGCAAAATAATCATGTATGGGCTTTCTACTTAAAAAAAATTCGTAAGGGTTCCGCGGAACCCAGTGTCTCGCCTACATCTGCTGTTAATCACAGGCTCAACAAAAATGAGGAAAAAACTTAATAAAAATATTCCTCTCTATACTATCTTTTGATTGTAAGTAGCTTCTGTCCAAGTTCGGTAAAAATCCAGGATAGTTTATGAATCTAATAAATGTTTTAAAATAAAAACTTAAACTGCAGACTGTTATGTAATATTAACTGGAAGAAAAACTAAGTCCATTTATAAGTAAAATACAGAAAAAATGGAACAAAATTTTAACAAAATTTCCTTTTAGATACTAGCTTTTAATCATAAACAAGCTTCTGTCCAAGTTTGGTACAAATCCAGGATAGTTCAAGAAAGTTGTTAAAATTTTAAAAACTTTAACCACAGAGTGAATGTAATGTTTCCTGGCAGAAAAACTAAGTCCATTTATAAGTAAAATATGGAAAAAATGGAATTTTTTTTTTACAAAATTTACTTTTGAATATTATCTTATGATCATAAACAAGCTTCTGTCCAAGTTTGGTAGAAACCCAGGGTAGTTTAAGAAAGTTATAAAAATTTCAAAAACTTTAACCACAGAGTGAATATTTGTGGACGCCGCCGACGACGACGCAGACGGAATGTAGGATCGCTATGTCTCGCTTTTTCGACAAAAGTCGAAGGCTCGACAAAAACAAAGGACCCAGGAAAGTCACCTTTAAAAATGGTTTACCACCTTTTGAGGCAAATTTAGAATTTCACTTACATTTTTATTGTACTTGACACCCATCCATTGTGGAGATTTCAAAATGCATTCCCTTTGTCTAATGTATGTTTTATGGGACTCCTATGTAGCATTTGAAGAGAACTTATATAAAAAGAACTTGACATAAAGAACTTTTCATTTCATCAAGTTTGGAATAATATACAGAATTCTGCAATATTTCATGTCAATAATATTCATGCCTTATGCATATTGGAAACATCTGATATATTTCATTTAGGGATGATCCAGTAATATTTACATGGAAACTCTATTTTCTAATTCCCACACCAAATAAAGTTAATTCAACTGGAAATTTTCTGACTTGCCCTCACAATCCCCTGAAATTTAAACATGAGTTCCTTCAAAGACCCAAACAAACTGAATTGTTATTTTTTCTGTTTGTTTTTCTGTTTGTTTTAATAGTTTTTTTTGGGTTTTTTTTGGTGGGGGTGGGGAGGATGATTTCTTTTGTTTTGAAAAAATAACTTAAAAAAAAAAGAAAAAGAATTATTTGTAAATACAACTTATAACAAAATTTTCATGCATCATGCAACAAAATGTTCAATATCAACATAACTATTAAAACCAAACAACTATGTGCAAACATTACCGTATCAAGTTTATGCAGGGACTTCCTGATAAACAACAACTACAAATCAAGCATTTGAGTATTAATAACTTTCTATGCCTGTCCCAAGTCAAGAACCTTGTCTGTGGTAGCTATTAGTTACATCAAATTGGTTTTTTTTGTCATTTAGTGAATCAAGTCCTCAATTGCAGATATATAATAGACTCAGTATAACTTTTTGTAATTTCAAGGAGATTTGAAAGTGACATATTGTTAGATACCTGTCTTTTGTGGAAGACTGTAAGTTGACCTATAATTTTTTTTTTAATTCATTTAAATCTTTTAGTTGCTCTCTGACTCAATCCCAACATAAAGCTTGATTCATATGCTATGAATTCTTAAACAAGACATTTGACAAAATATTTAATTATGAAAGTTCTTCGAATTAACCAATCTATACTGTGTTTGGCATGACACAATCTAGGTACCTTGTACATGTTTTGGACAGAATGAATGATGGATGGATGGAAGGAGTAGAGTAGTAAATAGACCTGCTGTTGCCTCCATCTGGTAATAAATCTAAGAGTTAACTCATATCAAGGTAGTTACACTTACCGACAGAAGTCCTTTATCAACACACCATTTCTGAAAACTATCCCTGGCTATCTTCAGACTTTCTTCATCTGTCTTCTTACAATATAGTCTAATCAGCTGTTCAGCAAAGACACCAGGCAACATCAGTGATACCTAAAAAAACCAACTTAGGAACTGATTTCACTTTCATACAGACCAAAATATCCCTATGACGTCAACAGAAAACCTTTCTGTCAGAAAATTGGATGTCCAAACAGATTCTTATTAAAATATAGAAGTAATATCATAAAGACAAAGGTATAATATTTTTTTAAAGAAGTTAGCATTGGTTCAAAATTGGAATATGTTTTTTAAATATCTCTATTCTTGAATATATTTTATGTTTATCTATTCACTTACACCAGCAAAAATATTTTCTGAGGGACCTTCTTCCCTATTTCAATTTTTCAAAAATTGTTCCTGAAATAGAGCTATTTTTACTAAAATCTGACAGTTTTCATTTGATATTTCTGAAGCAAACTGAGTCATCATGCTGATATTTAATTTTCTGAAAGTGCCTCTTCTGATTTTAAAAATTGTGAATAATAATATTATCACACAATTTATTTTTTAAAAAGTGATTTACAGGACCAAGACTAGCCCAAAAAGTACCTCCTCCATTGAAAGACATATCACCCTAGCCAGACACATTATTCAGACCATTTTTTCTTGCTCCTTAATGTTGTGTGTTTGGAGGAGCAGTAAATATCAATTTAAAGTCAAGGTAAGCATGTTACAATAATATCACAGAGTTTTATTGGACACTAAAGTAGTTTTTGTGCTTGGAATAAGTTAGGCTATCAAGTCCATGTCCTGTTTGGTTGTCTTTGATTGTACGTCTATTTTTTTTGTAGGCCCTGAATGTTCTTGATTGGATGATCTGTTGTACTATCCGATATTTTTGGTTATTCTTGCTACCCTTTTAATGTATAAACAAGAATACTGTCACCTCATTCATCTATAAGCCACAACTCTCTATACTTACGTGATGTTTGTCTAAAATAACTGCTTTAGTTACATCATTCTTGTTATAAAATCTGACGTTCTTAATGGGGTTTTCTGTCTTCATTCCATAATCTAGGTACACTAGCTGTAAAAAAAATCAACAAAATAATAATAAATTTTTGCAAGTTAGTTTTCCCATAAAATAGTAAGATAGAAGTAAGTCATCAGATTTGCTTGGAAGGCAGCTTTTGCATTCTTAAATCAGACATCATTTTTTACATTCGAATTCTCTATTGAACCTGTCATTTAAATTTATCATTTGAATAACAAATATCCATCAAAGTTCATTCTGAATAAGTTTGCATATAGGGTGTGTCAAATTCCAAACGTAGCAAGGAATGGGGTAAGAAATAAGGTTGGTTTGGAAGGAACTTTTTATTTTTTCCGATCATTCATGATTTCATATTCTATATCTAATTATGTACAACAAAGACATGCTGACCTAACATGTCACATGACTACCCCTGTATATTTGACATAAATATTGCTGACATAATATGTTACCTGACTGCTTTGTTATATTTGATACAACATGTATAATGATCTATATAATATTTTTATGATTTCACTTATTTCAAATAGTGTACAACATGTACAAAGAAGTATTTCACATGAACTCTTTTGTATATCAAATTTTCAAATAAAAATCACTAGTTCAACTAAAAAATGTGACTGTATACTTAATATGAAAAAAACTTACATGTACAACTAAGTCATTTGGACGTAACATGTCACATGACTCCTCTTCAATACATGACATGATCTCTTCTTTGATTTTTGATACATCATCCTGCAAGAAATCAGACGGAACATTAAGATGTAATCAACTCCATTTATACAATACCTAATAGCATAATTATAACTATTTGTATAACTTTTACCAGCATGTAACAATTTCCTTTCTATACATTGTAATGATACAAATCTGTTTTTACCTAGCTTGAATGTACATGCCTTTCAGCTTACTGCAACTTACCAAGCTATGAGTTTGAGGTCAAAGAATTACCTTACTTTTTTAGCAATGACAGGTCATATTTTCTAATTTTATTTATACCTTTGTTTTGCCTTCAGTTGGAGTTGTCTCCCCTACACATTTGTATAACTGTCTACGTTGGATTCTTTGTAATATTTCCCTGGACTTGGCAAGTTCCTTGTCGGTTGACATAAGAATCACATGGAAAATACTGTCATTCAGGCTGGTATAGGCTACAGGGTCATCTATACACTCAGATAATCTTACAAGTTTTCTGTAATGGGATAACATTAAATTAATACATGTATTAACTGTAAGAATGGAAATAAAAAATTTAAGTTTGGATGCCATTGAAGACCCTTGAAATCTGCAAGGTTATTGAATTTTTATGACAGAATATCAACAAATCATATAATGTATGAGTTTATTTCAGGAAATACCCTGTGGCAGTAACTTCTTTATATGGATGGGTATTTGTATTTTTAATGCCATAACAAATGGAATACATTGTAGAATATACATTCTAGACATTTCCCTTACATAAAAATTAATTATGTTCATCTTGACTATATGCTTTTCCAGACCGAATGCATAAAATTGATATAATGCAAAAACAATATTGCGTTAGATGGAATCTTTAAAGGCTAAAACAAAAACAACTCCTAAACTGATTTTGCTTAATAAGTATTTACAAACTTATCCAGCATGAAATAATAAAATTATAGAACAGATATATTACACCTTTGGAACAAGTCAGTTCGATTTCAAATACAAGTTCCAGTAGTTGTTTAATTTCTTGATTCTCAAAACAAAATATGCCATCTAGTAAGAGTTCTCTGGGAAAGGCTACTGAAAGAGTTATTAAATACGGACACTCGGCTACATAAAGGCAGCATGAATTCAAAAATCAGAAAGAAAATGTCATTTAACATCAAAACCCTGGTGAATTGTTTCTCTTTTTTTATTGGTCACAAAAGAAGATTATGGAAATAAATCAAATCTATTAGTATTATATACTTGAATTTCATATTCTATTCAAGTACATATGATGGATTGAATGCTTGTGTGTTATTTTTACATCGTCTTGTATTTAAGTTTTCAGTTATAAGCATATTTATTATTCAAAAAATTGTAAACAGTAAGAATGATTTCAAAATAGTCATACCCATCTTTCCCTGGTATAATCCCTTTCTTGTCTGCATGAATGAAGGCATCTGTTATCCTAAAATAGAGCAAACATGTATGTGAATATTTCAAATATTTGTCCCAACATGAATTTTGGGTATTGTACTTGAACTTGAGATTACAAAAAGTTTAAACAAATACAAAAGAACTGGAGTTTTGTGCATTTTGTACAATATAGCTAGTATTAGATTCCTAAACTTAAATTTGATATCAGTACCCATCATTTAGACTTATCATGATGACTCAACTCATTATTAGTCTTGGTGAATAAATCAGATTTACTTAAAAATAGCTTTCTGAAGTATAGGGAAAACAGTAGTATTTTTTTCCACAATATATAGGCAACAAAACTCATATTTTTCAAATTTGCTTCGTTTTATAGTAAAAACAAGGGAAATTGAATTTGACCTTTGTATCATCCTAATGATCACAATGAAATATCTTAGAGACAGTTCTTAAGTTACTGAAAGCAAAATAGTTATTTCAAAAGTTAACTTTAGAAGGAAAAATTATTTAAAACAAATTTTACAAATAATATAAGACAAACAAGCAATTGAAAGAGACATGTTAAAAATTTCATAAGTTTGTGAAAAATGGTTTTATAAATTACTGCATTAAAGCCAAAGATCTGTCTGTCCATCCTGTACAAATAACTTGAAATAAAATTTTGAATGTGCCTTTTTTTTTTAAATGTCTTTTATATTTTTAAACAGATCTTATCAAATTTAACTGGAATTGACCTGTAGCTTAAAACAAACCTGGTTAACACATGTATGGTTTTGGTTGTAAACTCTGTGCAAATCTTTTACTTACATAGTTTCTATTGCATTACAGACTCTATGTTGGTAAGCCCTTCGATGTAATGTTGCTCTTATCTGAAACATGCTGTAAAGTGTATCTGCCTCCTAAAAATATAATGAAATCAATAATTTTAGTTAAGAAAAAAAAATAAAGCAAAAACATGCAACATGGAAGAATATGTCATGAACCATATTATGGAAGAAAGATGTACTGAGTAATTACAGTTTTTTTTTTTTTATCTTTAAACATTAAATAATTGATTGTTTTGAATTTGCAGTTGTTCTGAAAGGCACAGACTTGTATCAGAGATTTATTTCAGCAAAAAAGGAAACAGTTTTAATGGACTCACTTGGATGTTATTGTTAAGGTATTTTAAACATGGGGCATTAACGATTTTAATCATTCTTAGCTCAAGATAGCGATCAACAGACCATTGGAACAGAAGTCAATGGGTACAAATTGTAAATAATTGAAGGCAATATAGAGTAAACATCAATGAGACAGCAACCTAAAAATACAAAACTCCCAAAGGCATATGGTCACAAAAGAGACTATACCATATTTCAAGCCTTAAATTGTTCCAATTCTAAACCAGTTATAAATAATAGTTGTTATTCCATATTGGTATAATCTTAGTAGGTTTCTCTATATGAATTGGATTTTGAATAAAACAGCATATTCACCTGAAGAAAAGTGATAGTCACCGTGCTAACGTCATGCGCTTTTACATGTAACGTTATGGTAAAATGTTTGATGTGCAATTGGTTTTGGTAAATAATTTTCCTTAAATACATTGTTTTCTCTCGGAATATGGAATAAAACAATTACTGTCTTTTGTTTCGTTAAATATGTGGTTTAATTGACTTTTTAAAAACTGATATTCACTTTGGCCGTCGGCCTCAGTGAATAAGTTTTTCAAAAGTCAATAAAACTGCATATTTACCTCATCAAAAGGCAGTAATTGTATAATATTTCTTCTCAAGCATCAAAAATATATTGTAACCTTATCTCTGGAACAGATCTGTAGTGTACCATCTACATTCAACACCCTTGAAAACTTCATAAATCTGTGGTGATCAAAGTTATTTTTTATCCCCAGACCATGACAGTCCCTGGCAAAGTAGTCCCATTTATCTACATCTATACCATTTCTTTTGTTTGCTACTATCTGTAAAACAATCATGTGTCTAAAATTAGTTATCAAGACCAAACCTATTGAAATCTAGTTTAAACTTTTAAATAAATGTCGAACTAAAAACTGCTAAATGTCTAAGAAACACATCATGTAATGCTATTATTGCAGTTGTTATATATGTTTATTCATTAGTATGTGTGATCCATTCAGAACGAGAAATAGTGTATATTTTCTTCTGACATTTGATGCTTGTCCTTATGAGCAAAATTGTGCAGTTATTCCCCAACCCCACCCTATTTAAAGTATGAAATTGTGATTTGTATGTCATGTATATATGTAATGATGATGTACATGTTTTTCAATAATAACTCATATTTGCTGCTGTCAGTGTTAAATTGTAATGTACAGCAGCATGGATCTCAAGATTGTTATATTACTGGTTCCTTTCACAAATATATGTATACAAATTGAATAACTCCAATCATTTGATAGTTGAATGTTATTAACGTTAAATCCACATTCTTTTTGGCTTATCATAACACCATTAAACAAATATATAGAAACTCAAAACAACATGTTCCCTAGACAATGGTGTTGCCTTTTTTTGGTCGTCTTTATTTTATTCACAATTACCTCATACAAAAAGCCTTTCTTTTCCTCTCTACCTTGATAAGGCCATTCCTATAAAAATAAACAACATGAACATTGCAATTTAAAATTCTATTACAACCAAGATCTTCTGTTTACTGTTAGTTGACATCAAATCAACTTAATAGTCAGCTCTCTAAAATCATATTTTACAAGATAAAAAGGTGCGAGCAAGCAACCTACCCTGAAAACTGATCTGAGTTTGGTGGTAATAAGCATTTTGTACAAGTTTCATAACATTTGGCTGAAGCAAACTAAAGTTAGAATGCGGAAACGGTAAATTTAACATTTATTCAATTTATAAAAGGACATAACTCTAAAACTTTGTGATGCCACCTTAATTCTAACTTGATCTGTATTTGGTAGTAGTAAGTATTGTGTATAAGTTTCATAACATTTAGTAGAGACAAAGTAAAGTAAAGTTAGATTGTGGAAACGACTCATTTGCCAATTTTTCGATTTATAAAGGGACATATATCGAGAACGGTAAAAATGATGCCACCCATATTTGAACTTGATCTGTGTTTGGTGGTAAGAAGCATTGTGTATTAGTTTTGTAACATTTGGTTGACACAAACTAAAGTTAGAGAACACAAACTTATTTTGGGACATATAGACGTACAAATGTTTAAATAATGCCCCCTCTGCCAATGCTGGGGCATTAAAATAATTAAAAAGAACATTTGAGAACTTTTTATTTAATCTGAACTCAATAAGTTATCATATTCAATTAAATCAGTTTGAACATATCTTTAAATGTGCGTATAAACATCATTAAGTACATTTATATACTATGAATTCAGATAAAAATGTGCATATCAATTTGTTAACCATTGACTTACAAGCTAGATTTATGCATGCCATTACAATACATCTATTGAATTATGCAGAATTAAAACAAAAATTTGAATTTGAATAATGAGTTCTGAAACACTTAATTTTTTTTTATGATATCGCAAATTTATATAACATAGAGATCAGTCCTCCTAACAAGAGGCTCTCAAGAGCCTGAATCGCTCACCTGTATTTCAGAGCAGAAGATTTTTAAATGTTAGCAAACTTGATGAACAAATTGTGTAAAATTGTCTTTAAAGGGCAATAACTCCTTAAGGGGTCAATTGACAATTTTGGTCATATTAACTTTTTTGTAGATCTTACTTTGCTGAACATTATTGCTGCTTACAGTTTATATATATCTATAATAATATTCAAAATAATAACAAAAAACTGCAAAATTTTGATAAAACTACCAATTCGGTGGCAGCAACCCAACAATGGGTTGTTCAATTCCTCTGATAATTTCAGGGCCAATAGATCTTGACTAATTTAACAATTTTACCCCATGTCACATTTGCTCTAAAAGATTTAGTTTTTCAGATATAAGCCAAAAACTGCATTTGACCCTTATGTTCTATTTTTAGCCATGGTGGCCATGTTTGTCGATGGATAAAAAGTTCGAATACAATTTATAAACTAGATACCCTAAGGAACATTTAGCTAAAATTTGAAGGTATTTGGCCCAGTAGTTTCAGAGGAGAAGATTTTTAAATGTTAGCAAACTTGATGAACAAATTGTGTAAAATTGTCTTTAAAGGGCAATAACTCCTTAAGGGGTCAATTGACAATTATGGTCATAATAACTTTTTTGTAGATCTTACTTTGCTGAACATTATTGCTGATTACAGTTTATATATATCTATAATAATATTCAAAATAATAACAAAAAACTGCAAAATTTTGTTAAAACTACCAATTCGGTGGCAGCAACCGAACAATGGGTTGTTCGATTCCTCTGAAAATTTCAGAACTGATAGATCTTGACCAATTGAACAATTTTACCCTATCAGATTTGCTCTAAAAGCTTTAGTTTTTGAGATATAAGCCAAAAACTGCATTTGACCCCTATGTTCTATTTTTAGCCATGGCGGCCATGTTTGTCGATGGATCAAAACTTCGGATACAATTTATGAACTCGATACTCTAAGGAACATATAGTTAAAGTTTGAAGGTATTTGGCCCAGTAGTTTCAGAGGAAAAGATTTTTGAAATAGTTTACGACGACAGACGACGACAACAGACTACAACGACGACAGACGACGAAGACGACGGACGCCAAGTGATGACATAAGCTCACATGGGGCACTTCGGGCCCCGGTGAGCTAAAAAGCAAGTAGTACAGCCAGATATCTATCCTTAATAATTTGATTAGGAGCTATTCAGTTCAATGATGTTTGTAGGTCAAAACAAATTAGGGCATAGGATATTTTGGCAAAAATTTTAAACTACTAAAGGACATTTTAGTGCAGACATTATTGCCCATTTTAGCACCAGATTAATCCATTCAACTGTATTTTTCCAAAGCCCATTTTAGCAAAAACTTACCTGGTTGAAAAATATTCACCATACTGAAAACTGTTATAAAAGTAATTTATGCCGGCTTATTGTGTAAGTTGTTTGCATTTACAATTTGGTTAAACAATGAAATAAATGTTGTTGAAACAAATAGGAAATAAAAATGGTTTTTCTGGATACATTCATCAAATAACTATAAACAACAACATATATCAAAATAAGAAGTATTGTTGAATCTGCAACTCAATCCAGACAAGATAAAGATAAGAAACAGTTCCTATTGCAAAAGTACAAACAGTATTGTACATCGGGTATATCAAAAGCCCATTGCGTTTGTTCACTGCAAGAAAAATTCCAGGCTAATTATAAGGACTTGTACATTCGAGTTAACTTTTTAGATATTTAGTGATGTATTCTAATAGACATGATAATTTTTGCGTTGTGCTGTCTTGAAACTATATAAATTTATGATTTTGCTAAATCTATTTCTGTTGCTGAAACCAGCCATGATGATTTTACTTTTCGCTAAAACAGGTTTAAAATCTTGCGCTACAATGGGATATACTTTAGTGCAAAAATGTCAGATTTTTTCACATAACATGTCCTATCAATGCAGTAAATGTCCCCTGCCGATAACATAAATAATTTCTAACAAAAAAAGACCTGAAGCCACAATATTTAACCATGCCTTATGTAGATAGGACTAACAGTTCTTGAAATGTGTTGCAGAAAACAACTGTGATAAAAAAAGGTGAAAAAGATGACAAAAAGAATAAGAGTTAGAGCAAAAAATTTCAGTCTCCACAAATTTTTGTTTGGAAAAATTAGGTATGTGTTTTCCATTTTTTTTTTAAAGAAAAGAAAGCGCACCAGCAAATAGTTACAATAAAAGCAGTGCTAACCAAACATTATTTTCAAATTGCACTGAACTTCAGTTTCTTTCATACATTTGAAGAGAAATTAAAATTAACATGAAATTTGAAGCAAAAATCAGGCAATTATTTGTGGATGGAAAAATAAGCAAAATAATATAGATACTTTGATGAAATTTGCATGGATGATTAAGCTGATGATTTGTTTCGATTTTGTACTCACTTCTGTATCACCCTGTAAAAGTTTTTCCTGTTTAAACGAGCATTGAAGATGTATTTGTAATTTAAACAAATATAACGAAATAGTCATAAGGCCAAAGAAGCAAATAAATGTAACTAACCTTAACCCTATGTTTAAGTGTTTACTTGGGGAAAAAAATATTTTATGAGGATATTTACCTGCCGAAATTGACTATTAAAAACATTCGTTAAATTGAATTACTAGTTTACCTACATACTTTTTGAGAAGTTACCATTAACAAGTTGTTATAAACTTGACAAACAAAAATTAGGTTGAATTGGACAATAAAAATAATAACGAATAACAAATCGGACTCACAAAGAAATGTTTAAGAAACTAAATTAAGATCTGAAATTTGTAATCATGGCAATGTTTTACAGGAATGATATAACATTCTTACATTTTTATTCTTTTTCAAGGGACCTGCGATCTGTTCCTTAACGAATGTAATATCCTGTTCTGTCAAACCAAATCTCTCAAACTCTTCTCTTAGTTCATTCTCCTTGATCAGGTAATCAAACATTATTACTGAAGCATCTTCATGCTGAAATAAAATCATCTTACTATATATTTGTTGATAAAAGTACATTTGCCAATGTACATACTGGACTCTGGTTTAACACATTTCATAACAGGCCTCTTTCGGTGTCTTATTACTTCTTAAGTTGCTCTGTAGTTTCAGTAAATCTCGAGATTTTTATTTAACTGAAATAATTTAAACTAATTCACCTTGATCGTTTATGACATTTCAAAAAATATAATTTAGTCATTTGTCACATATTTTTAGGAGAAACAAGAATGTGTCCATAGTACATGGATGCCCCACTCGCACTATCATTTTCTATGTTCAGTGGACCGTGAAATTGGGGTCAAAACTCTAATTTAGCATTAAAATTAGAAAGATCATATCATAGGGAACATGTGTACCAAGTTTCAAGTTGATTGGACTTCAACTTCATCAAAAACTACCTTAACCAAAAACTTTAACCTGAAGTGGGACAGACGGACGGACAAATGGACGCACAGACCGAAAAATAAAATGCCCCTAGGTGGGGCAAAAAAAAAAAGAATTCAAGAAAGCATAATTTTTCATCAGTTTTTTCTTGTAAATTTACAATCAAAATAATTTTTTTTACAATAGAAACATCAAGGATAAATATAGAAATAACCTCTACAAACAAAGCAAAAATTAAAAAGATAAGTATGTACATTTTCAGTTCTAATAAATATCCTCCTCGAGGCCTTACTCTTTCAACATTCTTTTCCAGACTTCCAAATTCTTTAACATTTACCTTAGCTTTAACTTTTATCCCAAGGTCTAAAGTTTTCTATCTGGTTTTTGAACAGCTTATTGGTACTTACCTTCCATTTCAACTTTGGTCTTACTGTCGGTATAAATTTACCATCAAATAAATGGGAAAAAGGTCCATGACCTGCAAATATAAATTCAGAAAAGGTTAACTTTAAGGTTTATTCAAAATATAGTATTCCAGAAATGTCCTGTACAAACTGAACCATCTAAAAAATATTCAGAGAAGTACATGTAATATTTCTTGCACATTTTTATTCATTCAACATCATGACAGTTTTATTCCACAATTTAACCATATCTTAATCTAAGTATATGAAAATTATAAAAAAAAAAAAACTTGTCAACTGACAAAAACAATCTATATTAGTAAGGTTCTTTTGAATATGTCTGTGTATATTGATTCCTTTATAAATGGGTATATATCTTTGCAATACTTTATTTCCATCTAACAAGATAAAAATAAGGAGATGTGGTATGATTGTAAATGAGACCATAATGACTAAAGATGTGAACAATCACAGATCATCAAATGCCTTCAACAATGAGCAAAATCAACACCTTTCAGTAAGCTAAAATAGCCTCAACCTGGAGAATGTAAAATAATTCAAAAAATAAAACCAAAAGCCTCAGTCTGACCTTTACTATGTTACTCTGGGGTGTAAAGCTACACATTAATGAAAACTATACAGTAGTGAATTAAAGTGGCATTATGCATTATATCCATCAACAAACAGACATTTATTTGAGTTGTCCAACTGCTCATCAAAACTATTGTGTTGCTACAAAAATGGAAGTCAAGAACTTATTTTTCGTTAAACATTCAAATTTGTGATTTGATTGGGCTAATATAAATCATAAAAATTGATATAAAACAAATACAAAAAATTCATAATAAACTACCTAAATCATGACATAGGCCTGCTATTTCTACACACAAGACATCCTTATTTGTTATGTCTAGTTCTGGCTGCCGTTTCTTCAAAGTCCGAGCTAACTGTCCAGCTAAATGACAAACACTGAAAAGTAAAGATTCATCATGTTCATTTTCAATATTGAATAGAAAAATTTGATCTGAAAAATATTTACAAGTTGACTTCAAGAGATATATATATACATGTACCAACTCTTTATCTGTGTATAGTTTGAAATCTGTGAAGATTGACTATATGACAATAATAAGCCAATAAATTCATGCATGGCACTTTCTGCCATTACAAAATCTATTCTCAAAATTGTAGCAATATTCATTTTCAAAAGGTTTGTTAATTTTTTGTATTGTGTTGATTGCCAACTTTTATGGGCATAGTTACAGTTAAGCCTTAATATTTAAAATATTACTTCACTTATAAATTTGCTTATTACATGTATTATCAAACATTTGAATGGTTGTTGGTGTATAAAATAACCCATTTCTTTTGCATGTTTATATAAATTTGTATTTTAACAAGGCAGTCAGTTTTATAAAAAATAAACCATTTATAGTCCTTCTGCAAGCAACTAAGACATTCAGTATTTTGGTTCTGATAGGACAAAGCAAGGTTGATATTTATACATGTATCATATTAACAACTTTTCATCCTGGGTATGGTTAAAACATTGCCTGCTGGATGATAAACATCAACTTATCTACGTCCATCCATAATACTCAAATCTAAAACAATTTCATGAAACATCTCAGTCCATGGGCTAAATTCAGCCAGATTTTTTCTACACCAAGTAATAGAGAAAACTTTTGGAATTCTTAGCTAATTAATGTTTAACAGTGAAATTTTGTTTGGACCAGTTACCAATATCTAGCAATTTTGTAAAAAATATGAGCATAGTCAAGAACAAAAGTAATAAACAGCTGCGCCATGAGCGCATAATACACCCGTCGCTTCTTCAATAGATATAAACCAGTCACCAAAGTTTCATGAAAACTGCACAAAGCATTTTTGAGATCTTGTCCGAAAAACTGGAAAATCCCCCTTTTTTAATGAATAAAACCCCATAACTCGGAAATGTAAATCTAAAAGGAGTAAGTTCGGTATGGGCCATGTTTGGCCCCGATTATAAAGTTCAATTTTACAAGATAAAAAATGTTTTAAGTTGACTATAAGACATGTGAGAAAGTTAAATAGAACTATTTGTGTCAAAGTTTTATTCTAAAGCATTGATTTGTACATCCCAAATAGGTCAAGATAAGAGATTTTGGCTAAATTTGACAAAATCGGCCGGATTTCAACCAAATTTAGGACCAGGAAACATAGAGCGTAGGTGTCGACAAACTGAATATTCAAGTTAGACATGTAAAATGTCTTCACAAACATATTTTAAAAGATCTTTTTTGTCGACGTATGCATTCTATGTTTCCTGTCCAATCATCAATGGAAATTAATCCATTTTCATTAATTTTTTTGTGGAAAATCAAAATGAGTACTATTTGTGACGTCATGAATAAAACCCATGAACGTAAATTTTCAACAGAAAGGCATATTTACTATCTAGTCACCGTATTAGCTATGATTCATTGTGATATTGGTCAATAAATCCTAATTTGAAATTAAAAAAAAGCTAAAAACACAGGGGGCCATTTTTGGGCCTTATTGAACCTACTCCTTTATATAAATCAAAAGGGAGCTCACATCAATAGACATAAACAATTCACCAAAGTTTCATGAAAACTGTTCTAAGCATTTTGGAGTTATTGTCCGAAAACTGGAAAATCCCCCTTTTTAATGAATAAAACACCATAACTCTGAAACGTAAAATCCAAAATTTATAAAAATTGAAAGGGAGCTCACGTCAATAGATATAAACAATTCACCAAAGTTTCATGCAGATTAGTTAAAGCGTTTTAAGTTATTGTCCGACATGTTGACGACGGACGGACAACAGTATACCATAATACGTCCCATAAACGGGTGTATAAGAATAACATGTCACAATGATATAAACGGAATGAATACATGAGCAACCATCATTTAATCAGCCAAAATTACACAATGTTTAAAAAGACCATTAAAAGTCAGATATTGTAAAATATCACTATAACTAGATAGCATTCTCAACCACTTAGTTTTCAGGGTAATATCTGACAAGTTTCTAAAGAATGTAATTCATTAACTAGTGTTTATGTGGGACATTGGAAACCAAGCACATAGGACAATAGAACAATGTTTAACCATGAATATTCTATCTTATAGCTAGAATCACTTACCCAATACAATGTTCAAATCTATTATGACCAGCACCAGGATAAACAAAATAACAAGCACCTAGCTGTTTTATATATCTTAGCCTTTGAAACTGTGGAGTATCGATTATCTTTACACATAATGGATGGATTTCCATATGACCATGGACAGGATCATTAAATACCTGCAAATAAAATATTAGAACACTAAAAATAAATTCACAATATATATATGTATTATCTTTATTTTATCATATTCACGACATATATTGCATAAAACTGATAGTATGAGGATATTTGGACAACTTATAATGAATTAGCAATTTAAAATAGAAATAAACCTTCCGTTCTAGAAATGTGAAGTACTTGAAAAATTAAAATGGTCTTGTGATTGCCTCCATCTTTAAAAACAAAGAGAGTCACACAAATCACTAGAACTTATCAATCAGAAATGCTGAAGTCCACTCTAGGGAACCGTTTTGTCCTGCTGCTTAAAACTATTATCTCTGACCTGGACAAGCCTCATCACAGACTGGAAAGATTATATTTGTGTGCCTGAAAATTCTGAGAATGTTTTGCTCAAATACCTGAACCTTATTTCCTACATCTTTCTCAATTAAGCAGAACAGGGAAATGGTACATTTATTTTCAACTGATAATTATTGAAATTCTGTCATACCTTTCTCTGATGCTCTTCAGAAATACCTCTGATGAACTTCAAAACTTGTAACCTATCACCAATTTTACTGAAAAATAAAAATGTGTTATAGTTTGCAGTTTTACAATGAAACATGAATTTCGAATTAAAATACAGCTCCTGGGTCAATGCTTTGCTTACAAGAATCTGACAACACTAAGTTCTACTTTCTGTTATCATAATGGTAATAATCACATCAGCCAATAAAATTTCCACCACAGGTGTGTATCATTACAGCAAAACCAGAGGATTTCAAAAGGCCTTTAAAACAGAAAGTAGAACAGAGCGTTGTCAGATGCTTGTAAGCCGAGCATGGACACATGGTGTATTTCAATTGGATTGTTTATTTTCAATACACAAATTAACAATAATGAAGCAGTTGATAGGAAACACTAATCCCTATAGTGAGGATGTGGAAGGTAAATTTAAAGGGCAGTGAGACTACCGGTACAAATGCAGTAAGTGGAGTGAAAGTGCAATGAAAGTTTAATGAAACCTCCATGTATTTTCATAGATCATAAAATCAAGTCATAAGGAATACTGATTTATCAAAGTGTATTCAAGCTGAAAGATTGTCTATGACATGTATTATATACAAAAATTGACAAAATAATAGCAAAATAAAAATTTATGAAACATGGTTTTAAATAGGATCTAACTGAAAAATTCATAACATTTTAATCATTTCCAACTTTTTTTAAAAATGTCAAAGTAAAATTGTATTCATAGTGATCAATATAAATAACAAAATTGTCTTGCTTCATTAACACAATTAAAAGCAAATCGTACCTATGCTACCTAAATACATGTTAAATAATATATTGTCTTTTTTTATATCTGTATCCTCTTTCTTTTGAATTGATGAATTTAATGTTGAGATAATAGATATAGGGAATTTTGTCATTACTGTTTGTTCTAAAGTTTGATCAAATCTCCATAATTAAAGCCTTGGAAGACTTTAGGGTTATTGTAAATACTGATGACCATTGTTGTGTGGGAAATTATTTTCAGAATTCAGAATCCATTTATTCCCTCCCTAAACAACTGTGTCCAGAAAAATAATTTCCTTTTCAGACTATAATATATTTGCATGTGTAGCTTCATGTTCATTTCTATAAACAAAACTCTTGTAGCAACATACTCATTTCTAGTTAAAATACATGAGCAAAATTCTTTTTGCTTCAAGTTATAAATTTCCAGTAAAAGCTTTTAGCCTCAGATTAACTTTATTAGTAAATTCAGATATTGTTGTGTTCATTTATTATTGTGATTTCTGAAGAATAGAAAAAACTTTCAAGATCAATTATGGTAATTTCTAGAAAAGCTAAAAACAGATATATGTACCAGATAAATAATACAAGTTCTTATCATTGTGATACTCATCCAGTCGCATAATTCACATTAATAAAAACCTCACAATAATTTCTGAATTTACAGTAATATTAAATTTTTGTAGCCTCAAGTCAATTTCCAAGTTGCCACAGAAACAAGCACAAGTCAGAACTTCAGGTTAATTTCTAGGTTGTTACAGAAACTGACACAAATCTTGAGGTAAATTATACTTACTCTACACCCATAGCTGTAAGTTGTTCTTCTGTTATCATGTCTAATACTGCTCCAGATATGTTCTGTTCTGTAAAATCACAAAAGTACATTACAATTGACTGTTCAATTTTTCAATTATAAAATGAGAATGCTGTAAAAATCAAGAATATATTATACATGTCAAATTCCTTTATACAAAAGTGGTTCAAACAACAAAATGTATTCAAAATAATCACATCTGCCTAGAAATTGTGAATTTTGAAAATAACAGCCTTAAGAACTTATGAAATTCTATAGAAACAATTAGTCATATACAAGGCTTCATATAACAAATATAATAATCATAAGTATTGAACACGTCACATGAATGTAAATAAAACTGGAATAAAAATATTTAAATTTAACTGTTGAGAGTGGAGAAATGTTGTAATACATGAGTTATAGTGGTGGAATCTGTTTCTCTAATGATTTTTATCCTTCCTAATTTCATAGATTTGCAGAAAGGTGTGTTCTTTATATGTGACGTCATCAGGCATGGTCGCCTTTTTTCATGACGTCAAAATCAGAAATTCAGAAGAAACCAAGAAAATTTAACGTCATAATTAAACAATCAATCATTTGCCTGAGAACAGATATTTCACTAGTGAGGAGAACAATTTTTTCACAATCAGTTGGGAAATGTGAAAATAGTGACAAAATTAGAGAAATCAGTTTCTCTGTTTCAGAATTGCTGAATAAGAAGCAAGTAAAAAGTAATAATGGAAATTTCAACTATTTCCATCAGAAGAATTAAATGATGAATTATTAGCACTGATTTTCTTTTTTAAAGGAACCTTGGATTAGAAATTAAAAATAATCACTGCACTCAACTGTAATACCTCTTTATAAATTAGCAGCAATAATATAAATTATAATCACTTAGATACTAGTAAATGAAGATAAACACCTCTAAACTTTTGGGCTATTTCAATTAAACCAATTTTATCTAACTTCTGAGCAAGATGGTCTGCTGACCACGACTGCTCTCCAGTTCCACCATAGTTACTCTCCTGTGTGGAGGGAAAACCATCAAATATCAAATCTTCCTCTTCCACAACAGGCTGGCCAAGTGAGACTTCAGAATTATTCTTCTTCATGACATGCACTCCATTACAGTTGGCAAAGGGAATATCTTCTGCCTTTCTTTTTCTGTCATTCATTGTGAGATAATATATCTGTAAAAAAATTATTCAATTTATAAAAATTGGAATGCTGATTCATGGTATTCTGTGTGTATTTGATCAATTTTTGTTTCAGTTAACATTTTTAAAGGATTTAAATTTGGTGGGCAGATGTCTTATAGGCAATCATACAACATTTTTTTAAAGATGGCAGATCTCCTCAATTTGACCTCACTTTTTACAATCTAAAAACAAATTGTATTCATCCTCATTTATTACATCATTTACAGTACCGGTACATAGCTTTGGTCTCTGGGTAACATTTCTATTTCTTCCCATTTCAATTTCTAGGTATGGTCACATAACAACCTGGATTCAGAGATTAACTTCTGGTTTTAAATGTTTATTCTTTTAAATAAGTACTTCTCTAATTTTAACTCAGGTCTTTTTTGCAATAAAGAAATAATTTGTAACAGTTGGCACTCATACCACATCTTCTTATATCTATGTAATAGAAGGAAGTTTATTCAAGATTTGTTTTACTTTAGACATCATCATGTCATATTGGTATATATATAAACTTTATCTTTAAGGAATATTCAATTTTTTCATCATAGGTTTCAAAATCTGCCAAATCCAATCCTTTCTATTTAATAAATATAGTTCTTATATGATTTTCATATTTGGAAATACGTTAATATGATGGGTCGAGGCCTCCAGTAGCAGTTTTTGACGTGAACTATTTTTGGACAAAATTAATGATGTTGAAAACAAATTTTCATCTGCGATTTTAAAGAATTATGAAAGGAATTTATTGGTGTATAAACTTAAAACTGGACCAAGTCACTCACAAACATATCATACAAGTCGACTTTTATTTGTTTGTGAGTGAATTGCTCCAGTTTATACACCAATAAATTCCTTTCAAAAGATGTTTAATCATATAATTATTATAGCAAAACAATAAAATAGAAATGTAAAATGTTATCAAGATTTGAACTTATTTGTAATTTGTAACACAAAACATGTCACATATATGCACCTTACATGATTGTAATTATTAATTATTTCATATTTCAAGATGTATTATAAAATGAATCATGGAAGTCATATTTCTTTCACTATAATTTTCAACTGATCTACAGGTAAAGTTTATACCTACTAAGTTTTGATCTAATACATGTGCGTATTTTTCGTTATATAAGAGAATGTAAAATTCATAAAAAATGCAGGAAGTTTATGCATCTGTTAAAATTTTTAATAACTCTTTTGAGTAATTTTTCTTATATTTTCTTTCAGAATTACCAAGGATTTGTATAGCAAGATACAAATCCTTGGAATTACCTAGTATACCGGTAAAGATAATTAACAAAAAATAACTTGTTAAAGCAAGAACCCTTTACTGTCTCAATCTATCAAACTATGTACTATATAAAAAAAATTAAACTTACACAAGTGTTACAAATTCAATACACAACTATCAACATCTGCATCAAATATGAAATTGACTTTTCAAAAATCATGGGTGTATTTAAAGAAAGTTGATAGGTCACTCCCTAAACCTGTAAACATATCTATACAGTATAGAATGGGGATTTCCAGATTAGTATCAATACCATCAATTTTGACATTAAAGATGGTTCATAAGTCTGTGAACTAATTCCCACAAAACTGCACTTGTCTAACATGTGTACATGTGTAAAAAGTCACATGACTAACAGCAATCAAAATTTATGATGACCTTCAACGCTTTGTAATAAATTTTACATACACTTTATATTAATAAATCATATGATTACATAATTCTTTAAGACAACAAATCTCTAGGTTATGACATATATAATGTATTCAACATTTATCCTTAAACATAAATCTTTAATTCCATTACAAATGTCCAGTTATACAATATTGAGGACACCATAAAAGTTAAAAGCATTTAAGGACAAATCTCTTTAAAATAAAACCATATAAATGTTTAAAGGAAACAAATTTGAAAGTTATGAAATTTTAGATATTTTAACTAGATTTTAGGTCAATCTTTCCAACGTGAGTTTTTCAGAAATTGTTACATGATTGAAATCATTTTATAATAAGATTTCTTGGAAACTGAAACTGTCTGTTAAGAAAAATTAGCATCTTTTCCAAAAATTTCTTGAAAATTAAGATTAAAGAAATTAAAGAATGAAAACAAAGAGGCAAAATTTTAGATGCATGTATTTTTTCTTAAATCATCACTTACAGATTAAGTTTAATAACCTAAAAGAAACACAAAAAAAAAAGAAAAGAGGAACTTTTCTTCAGACCGTCTTTCAAAAGAATACAAAATAGATTTACAGCACCCTGTTTAATTTTATACGTCAAGGGACCAATAGAGTGACCTTATCATACCTTTTACTATTTCTTTGTTTTCACTTTCATGAAAAGAATCATCCTAACACAACGTATATATGTTGTCATAGATACTTTCGGTTTATCTATAAATCATTTAAACATCATATGTTTGGTTTATGTTTATTAGAGCATAATTAATATTGTTTTATCAATTCTATTAGTTACATCTGCCACCTATCTAGTTGATAATTACTCAGTTTCCCAGGAAAAAAAGAAATTTCTATCTTAATCAAAAAAACATCTTTACAACTATTCGAAATGTAGTATGACATCTGATGATCAAAAGCAACAATTAAAGTGTTTTAAAAATTCCATAGAAACTAGAGAGAAATCAAAATTAACAGAATCACAACTACTGCACCAAATAAAAAGAAACAATGTTAACTTACATGATTTACAAACTCAATGTATAACTTCAAATGTGAAAATGGCTTTTCTTCAATCCTCTGGTGTATATAAAGAAAATGATCAGGTCACTCCCTAGGTACTGAATATACATGTATTTATAGAACAGGGATTTCCAGATTGATAGCATCATCATAAATTATGACTTTAGTTGATTTAATAAATAAGATTTCTGGTAAATAGAAGCTGAGGGTGAAGGAAAAAGAGATGCATGTGTATAAATTCACAAAAACTACAGGTAATTAACAGAAACAACATCTTTAGGATGTAAGAGATTTGTACTAGATAAGTAGAATTTAGGTCAATCTTTCAACTGTGCATTTCTGTAACATTAAATGCGTTAAATAAATAAGATTTCTGGGAAATTAAAGCAGTATGTCATGCAAAGAGCTTTTTCTTTTCAAAAAAATCTCAGCCCAGAAAGATTTCTTGAAAATTGAGATTATGAGCATAACTGATTTTTTAATTCAAAGTGTTCTAATACAAAAATGATTTTGCTTTCAATGGTGAAAATTTATGAAAAACACAAGAAATAAGTCAGAGAAATTTATGTTGGGCAGATTTTTTTAATACATGGAACAAATGGAAAATTTTAAATTAAACTTTAATTTTGGCACATACCGGTACATGTACTTGTATTTGAACTATTCATTTATTCCAATTATTATGTAAACATTGAGTGACTGTGCCAATGCATTAGTGGTACAGTTGATCAAGTACTTCTATCTCGTTTATTGTGGAAGCCAAATCATTATCAAAATGAACACCACCTTTGAAAAAAAGTTGATTCTTTTCAATTTTTCTGAAGACCTTTTTTTGTTGTGATACTGCCTCACTGGTCATCAAGGTGTTTTCCAGTAATTCTAGCCGCTGCAGCAGAAAAGAAGATATAAATGGAAAATCTATATATATAATGCCTCTAAAAAGTAATGTTCCCATCTGCATTGGTACCTCATTGTTTCAACTACCTGTCATTAGAGCAATTCATGAGACAAGAGGATTTGGTTTTTATGCCCCACCTAGGGGCATTATGTTTTTCGGTCTGTGCATCCGTCCGTCCATCCGTTCGTCCCTACTTCCATCCGTCTGTCCCGCTTCAGGTTAAAGTTTTTGGTTAAGGTAGTTTTTGATGAAGTTGAAGTCCAATCAACTTGAAACTTAGTACAAATGTTTCCTATGATATGATCTTGCTATTTTTAATGCCAAATTAAGAGTTTTGACCCTAATTTCACGGTCCATTGAAAATAGAAAATGATTGTGCGGGTAGGGCATCCGTGTACTATGGACACATTCTTGTTTCCAATTTTTTTTAATACTATATATTGGGCTTCTCTAAATGCTGATCTTGTTCAAGATACTCTGGTTGAGTGAGCAAGCATTTTATAGAAGAAACAATGCTGAGCTCATTGATAAGGTAAATATGTACTACTTGTAAATTCAGAAATTATTGTGTGCATTTATTACTGCAATTTTTAAAGATGGACAAAAATGCAAGATTAAATACAGCAATTTCAGATTAACCTGCATACAGATATATGTATCAGATATAAGAATGAGAGTTCTTATTATTGCGATTTCCACCACAACACATTATTCACATTAATAAAAACCAAGCAATAATTTCTCAATTTACAGTATTTTTAGGAAGTCAATTTACGTCAATTACCAATCATGTCAACAGTGGAGGAAGTTATTTACCTACATAATTACTTACCACATACAGCTACTATCCTTTGCCTAATATATCATTATAAAATCTGTGTCTGCACCTACAACAATATATGCTCTGGTTAGCTACAAATTATATTAAATGACAGATACAATTTTAATCATCAACATAAAGTCTTGCATCACTGACACTGAATTTAAAGTTTGTAAAAAATGTTACTACATGTATCTATAGCTATGTTTTGACAATTATGTAAAAGTTTAATTCAACATGTTATGCATTCTTTGAAGTCAATTGACAAGCACATTTTTGGACATGTGTATATTATTTATAGATTTCTGAATCCATGTATCTTCTTTGATTTTTTTTTTGTCAATTGACAAGCACATTTTTGTATGTGTATATTTATAGATTTCTTAACCCATGTATCTTTGATTTTTTTGTGTTTTAATTGTAAGTTACACATGTTACAATAGAGTAAAATAAAATTTTTGACCAGTTTAAAACAAGTCAAACTTCAAAATTTCCAACAGACCTAGTACATGTATCTTGATTCGAAGTTAGTGGGGCTCAACCCTTAAAAAATTGACATGTCCAATGCTAAAAATGATAATATAATGTCAAATTTACACTAGATAAATGTGTTTAGATAACAAATTTAGAAGTTGTGGAATGAAGATATAGATATTAGAATTTAAATCTTTTCTTTTCGAGGTTAGTGGGGCTCAACCCTAAAAAAAATTGACATATAATGTTGAATGCTGACATGTCTAATGCTAAAAATTGAAAATTTAATCAGTCATGAATACAAGTGACTATATCATGCCGGTCAATTTTTATTGGTGCACAGAAAGAACCACTGCCCTTCAGCAAAATCAATGATAGTCAAGGAAATAATTTATAACTATTCCTCAATTATGTGATCTAAATACCTCAAACTAGAGGCTCTAAAGAGCCTGTGTCGCTCATTAAGGGCAATCACTCCTTTAAAGAGTCTACTAAAGATTTCATTAAAAACTTGACTAATTTTTAGATCTTGTCTTGCTGATCACTTTTGCTTTATAAAGTGTTTATCTATCTTTTATAGTTTTTAAGATATTAGGTAATAACATAAAATATTGGTAAAAATCGTCATTAAAGTGCAAAAACTCCAATAAGGAGTGAACTGGCGATTTCAGCAATTAGATTTATTTGTAGATCTTGTCTTGCTGATCATTTTTGCTTTTTTAAGTTTCTACCTACAACATGTATTTATTACAGTTTTTTCAGATATGAGGCAAAAAATGCAAAAAATTGGTAAAAATCTTCATTAAAGGGCAATAGCTCCATTAAGTTACAAACTGACTATTTCAACAATGGTAACTTTGTATATATGTAATTCTTGTCACACTTAGGCATGTTAGGTGTCCATAACCTTTTAGTCCTGGCATTTGCATCTAGGGTGAGGTTTATTCACTTTTGGTGAAATTCACTCATTAAATAACATGTACATGTAGCAGTAAATAAGTTAATTTCTGTTGAACATTGATATTCGCAAATGGAAGACCACACTTTGTTGTCAAAAAAACTTAAAATCTAATTAAATTTAATTTAAAAAAAACTTAATTAAACGCTAAGTTTAACTCATGTGAAGAGCTAACGCAAGTTTTGGAGCACTTTGCCAAGGATAACAATGTGCAACTGTGGAAAATTGATTCAAGGACTATAAAATTTATGAAAACTAGAGCATCAAACAAAAACTTTAATAACTTTTTTTTTTTCCGGCCTTAAGCATTTTGATGCTGTTGAATTTAACTTTTAATTTCAAAACTTGTGAGATATTTTTTATTATAAATTTTAATTAGAATATCAATTTTAATATGCATGCTTTGCTTATAAATTAATTATATTTGTATAGAGACTTCTTATTAAAGTATATGTAAAGTAACTTTTAATTTTAAAAGAGAGACTAAAGAATGCAAAAATACCAAAGGGACATTCAAACTCATAAGTCAATAACAAACTGACAATGCCATGGCAAAAAATGAAAAAGACAAAAAGACAAAAAACAGTACACAAAACACAACACAGAAAACTAAAGACTGAGCAACACAATCCCATCGAAAACCAAACTCAATGATAAGTCTAATTTAGTAGGTCACACTCGGGGAAAAGGGAAGGTACTGAAGTTATCACAATTGAAACATATCTGTCCATATCAATCAACCAGCTTGTGATGGCGTCCATCTTACAATGTCTTATGGGATATTTTTTATTAGAATATCAATTTTAATATGCATGCTTTGCTTAACATGTTAATGTATAAATTTTTTTAAAAAATTCTATGTTTTGTTTTGTGTACAGTTGTTTGGTCTGTCGGTCTTATTCTATTTTAGCTATGGCGTTGTCAGTATATTTTCTACTTATAAGTTTGAATGTCCCTTTGGTATCTTTCCCCTCTCTTAAAGTTTTAAAGAAGACATATTTTTTTAGAATTTTCTTATCTGTATATATGTACATATATTTAATTATATATTATTATAATAATATAAGCAAGGATTTGTATAGTAAGACATCATCTTACTATACAAATCCTTGATATAAGTGTATGTTTCTATATTTCTTTCTTCCCTTTATTAATACACTGAAAATTTGAATAAAGACCAGGAAAATAGCAAAACTCTATATAAATTGCAATTTTGCCAGAGCCGGCAAAGTAGCGCTAAGGAGGCTATTTTGACAGACCCAGTAAAATAGCACCTAAGGGCCATTTAAATAGTCCAAATAATTATGAAGTCTTGAAAGGCTTTTTAATTTTTTTCTGTGAAACTTATACCTAGAAAGGCATCACAGAAAAAAATTAAAATTGCCTTTTGAGACGTCATAATTATTTGGACTACCATTTTAATATCTACAAATTTTCTACCATTGGCCCAATTTGGGCATAATTTCCTGCCTTGTGTTGTGACGTTGTTGAGGAAAACCTCTGCAGATATTTTCAGGTTTGATTGAGACATGTGCTTTCCCCATTAGGGATCCATTAGTAGTTTCCATTCTTGGAAACTGTCAAACCTATCATTTGAAGTCTGAGAGTTCTTGCTGTTCTAATGGATCTGTAGTTTCTTTCCGAGATCCTTTTCAGTAGGATTTTCGGCTTTCCTCTACCATTGATACAGCAGGGCATTTGGCAATGTCAGTTTTGATATGTATTTTGTCCTCACCGATTCCTCGTTACTACCTTAGACGTATTTTGCCAAGGCATTTGTAGGGTATCCGGGGTGACCCTGTTCCATTTTATAAACACACAGATATTAAAATAAGGATATTTGATACATAGAAAATATACCGTCTCCTGTTACAGTTTTGCACTTTTTTATACTTCTACTTCTACTTCTACCAATACGCGGCCACCATCAATAAGTTGATTATTTTGCCACTTTTTGGATGCGCATTTAAAATTTAGACAAAAAAATAAATATTGAATTGATTTGAATTTGTGCTATACATCATATTATATACAGTGAATTTAAAAACATCTTGGCGTTGATCTAGTTCATCTCATGCAGGTAAGTCTTGAAGCATTCAAGACTACCTGTATTGGTGGCAGTATGTGGTAGGGCATTCCAGTCTCGTATCGTCCTTGGGTAAAAAGATTCCTTCTGCACTTAGGTCCTACAAGATGGTACTTGGTATCCATTTGTATTGATGTTTCTGGATAGCCTATCTGGTGGAATGAGAGTATTACTGGTGTCAACTTTCACCATCCCGTTGGCAAGTTTATACATCATTGTAAGCCTTGATGTTCTCCTACGGTCTTCGAGGGTTTTCCATTCTAGTTTGTTAAGCATGTCACTAACAGATGATGTGTTATGATATCTGTTAGTGACATATCTAGCTGCTTTCCTCTGTACCATTTCCAGTCGGTTTTTGTTGTTTTGTTGATAAGGATCCCAGACTGTACATGCATATTCTAGAGTCGGTCTTACAAGTGACTTGTATGCAGTTTCTTTTATTGTGTTGTTATTGATGTTCAAGTTACGTTTGAGGAAGCCTATGGTCTTGTTTGCCTTGACACATATGTTTTTAATGTGTTCATTCCATTTTAAGTCGGAGCTGATGGTGCAGCCAAGGTACTTTGCTGAATTTAGAGATTTGAGGGTGTGGCCATGCAGTACATATTCTTTTATAATAGGCTTATGTTTTCTTGTTATGGTAAGAACATTACATTTATCTGGATGAAATGCCATTTTCCATTTGTTTTCCCAAATTGCCAATTTATTCAGATCTTCCTGATGGTGGTCGCTGTCTGTGTCCGATGATATTGTGAGATATATGATTGTATCATCAGCAAAGAGTCTTACTCTTGATCTAATTCCCTCTGGCATGTCGTTTATGTAGAAAAGGAACAAACTAGGTCCAAGAACTGATCCTTGTGGGACGCCTGAATCGATTTTTCCCCTTCTACAACTACGACTTGTTTCCTGTCGGCGAGGAAGTTTTTGATCCACCTATTGGTTTTCCCTCTTATGCCATATTGTCCAGTTTGTGTGTAAGTAGGCTATGACTTACTTTATCAAAGGCCTTAGAAATATCCATTATAAGGCAGTTGATTTGTTTTCCTACGTCCATGTTTATGGTGATGTCATTAATAAACTCAATTAATTGTGTTTTGCAGGACAGGCCTCGCCTGAATCCTTGTTGTAGTGGATACAGTATGTTGTGTTTGTCAGCATGGGTCATTATGTGGCTTGTTACGATGTACTCCATGATTTTGCAGCAAATGCAGGTAAGCAAGACTGGGCGGTAATTTACTGCATCAAACCGTTTTCCCTTAGAACTTGAATATTGGGCTTACATTAGCCTTTTTCCACATGTCCGGTAAATCACCTGTTTCATAGGATCGCCTGAAGATGGTTGTTAGGATTGGTGCAATGTCTATAGCTAATTCCTTCAGCACCCATGATGTAATGGTGTCTGGACCCGCTGCTTTAAATGGGTTTAGGTTGGATAATAAGGGGACGAAGTCCCCTATTTAGCTATTACAGTAGAAAAATCAAAAAAAAAAAAATCAGGAATATTTCCCGATGATCGCGTTTCTTTGTTTACATTGATCATGACGTCATAACTTAAATAACGTCACAAGTAAAATCCCTAACAACAGAACCAAAATCGGAAACGTGACGGTATTTCCTTT